GCTAGGATTACAGGTGTGAGCAACTGGTGTCCGGCGGAACTAGAAATTTTTAAGAACAGCCAGCCATCTCATCTTGCCTAATGCCTGAAACAAGTACACGATTCCTTATCCAAAGGCTCCTGAGAGCCTTTGTTCCTGGATGAATTAGAACAGTCTCATGCTGAAGAAAGGTGACTTCCAGACATGAAGGAATGATCACCAGGAAGAAGATATTAAGTAGGATTGCTTCTATGTGTGTATGTGAACGCATGCTATTGAGGTTTAAACTCAAGGCCTTTTGCTTGCTAGGTTGGTGCTCTACCACTTAAGCCAAGACTCTAGCCTGACTTTTCTGATGGTTATTTTGGGGAAGGGGTGCTCATGGACTTTTCTGCCCAGGCTGGCATCAAACCATAGCCTCCTGAGTACGTAGGATTATAGGTGTGAGACACTAGCACTTGGATTAGGCCTTAAATTTCTGATCATCCAGCTTCAATCTTAGCCTCCCAAGAGAGCTGAAATTATAGACATGCACCATCTTGCCTGACTAAATAAGATTTCTTCTAAATTGAACATCCTATTACTGTGACAGAGACTATAGAAAATTTCTGGTATCACATTCTAATAATATGGTATTGCCAGAGATATGTCTGGAAACTATCAGCTGTGTTTATCTTGAGCAAAAGTCAAACAGTCACAATCCCTTTAAAAATTATAATTAAATGATTATTTAAGAGCAATATTCAAGTGAATGGTGTGTTTATCTAAATTTATCTCTACACCAGTAACAAAACAGGGTGGATGTAGGAACAGAATCAAGCCGAGAAAACCTTTTCATTTATTTTTTGCCAGTCCTGGGCCTTGAACTCAGGGCCTGGGCACTGTCCCTAAGCTGTTTGTTTGTTTGTTTAATAAGTTTTTATTGTGAAAATACCATACAGAAGGGTTACAATTACATGAGAAAGGTACTGAGTACAATTCTTGTTTTGTTTTTTTGTCGGTCGTGGGGTTTGAACTCTGGGCTTAGGTGCTGTCCTTGAGCTCTTCAGCTCAAGGTGAGCACACTACCGCTTGAGCCACAGTGCCACTTCCCTGAGTACATTTCTTTTTTTTATTTTTTTTGGGTCCGGTAGTGGGGCCTGAACTCTGGGCCTGGGCACTGTCCCTCAGCTCTTCAGCTCAAGGCTAGGGCTCTACCACTTGAGCCACAGCGCCACCTCCAGCTTTTTTCTTTTTGCTTATGTGGTGCTGAGGAATCGAACCCAGGGCCTTATGCATGCAAGACAAGGGCTCTACTGCTGAGCTACCTTCACAGCCCGAGTACATTTCTTATCAAGCACTGTTCCTCCTCCTTTGTTTCCCCTTACCATCCCTGCCCTCCCATCCCCCCCTACCTCCTCCACCCTCCCCCGCCAAAATTGTAAAGTTCATTTTTCTTTTTTTTTGGGGGGGGGTCCAGTTGTGGGGCCTGAACTCTGGGCCTGGGCACTGTCCCTCAGCTCTTCAGCTCAAGGCTAGCGCTCTACCACTTGAGCCACAGCGCCACTTCC